GAACTGGAAGGGCTGACCGTCCCCGACCAAGGTCCTTCGCTGGAACTCAGGGCCCACCTCAAAGGCCCAGTGAAAGCTCACACAAGGCTGGGTCCAAACACCATCGGTCTGCCCCTTTGGTCTGCTTGTTCCGCTCCCCACCCCCACCCCCACCCCCTCATAGGTAGATTTCTACTCCAATAAGGACAACTCTGTCAGGTAGCCTGGGAGGACAGATGGGGGCATGGCGTTTCTGGACCCGTTCCCTCCTGTAAGCGCTAGGCCACGCTGCCCAGGAAAGGTGCCTTCAAAGTGGGCAATCCAAGGAGGGGCGCAGGGGTGTGTGTGTGCGTGGGGGGGGTGTTTGGGCATTTGTGGGAAGGGGAAGAGCCACACCCTGTTTGGGCAAAATACTGTATGCCGGGCAGGAGGGAGGGAGGGAGGGAAGGGGGTAGAGTAAATGAGTGGCTGGGGGAGAGAAGGGGTGTTGGGCCCCCTCCCACTCACCCCCTCTGCCCTTCCCTCTTGCAGAGGGGGACCCAGAGCCTGCCAGGGAGCTGGTAGGCGAGGAGAGCCCCCGAGACCAGTCTCCTCCAGGGGAGGAGGAAGCCCGGCGGGGCAGCCGAGGCCAGGCCATCGTCCCTGAGCCGCTGGACACTGGCGACGACTGGCAGGTGCCATGTGTCCCCAAGTCCCCCAGGTAAGTGGACACAGCCGGCTCCCCGCACCCAGTGGTGTTATCCTGCCCGTCCTGGTAGGGTGGCAGCCCCAGTGGTCCAGGGGAGGGGCAGCAGCTCCTGCCCTGCCCGAGTGCCAGCTCTCCTCTCTTGCTCCAGGGACGCCAGCCTCATCCTGGAAGCGGTCAAGCGCAACGAATTCCTGCGGTGCCTGGGCGACGGGCAGAGCCAGCCCCTGGTGGAGAGCTTCACCCCAAAGCAGTGCCAGCCGGGGGAGACGGTCGTGGCCGAGGGGGATGATGGGCACCACATGTACATTGTGGCTGGTGAGGGCCTGGCATGAATGTGGCGTCAAGGCCACTCAGGGGAAAGTGGGTGAGCAGCCCAGAGAGCAGTTGGCAAGATCCAGCCCAGAGTGTCTCACAGGCGCTTCCAAGCCCTCCTCTCATAAATGGGGGTGGGGAGAGATGCGGCATGGCTCCCCCTGTTTCTCCCCCCCCCCCGATCCTCACCAGCAGGTTCTGGATGGGTTGAGGGCAGTGGGCTTTTCCTTCCAGCCTCCATCCAAAGCTCTGTTCAAAAGACCTCCCAGTATGGGCTCTTCTGTTTGCGGGAAAGCATGCTTGGGGTGGGAGGATCACCAATTTTGGGGGGGGGGGTGTTAGGGTTCTACACAATGGCACACCTGTCTCCTCTTACGTTGCAGAGGGAGAGCTCTGTGTGACGCAGAAAGGGCGCCACCTCCGCCAGCTGCTCCCCGGAGATGTGTTTGGGGAGCTGGCTGTCCTGTACCACTGCCAGCGGACGGCTACCGTCACAGGTAAGGCCGGAGGGGGCTGGTGTGTGGGCAGGTGGGCGAACGGGCATCCCTGCACCAGGACTGTGCCCACGGACCCTTTGGAACCTGAAGAACTCAGCATGTTTCTTCCCTGGCCCCCTGGCCCCCCCGTACCTAAGGCGTGCACCCCTCGGCCAGGGAGGCCAGTCCCAGGCGTGAGTGTGTCAGGCCAGCCAGGCCTCTGGGCTCAAAAAAGGGAGATGCCCGCGCCGTGCCTCCACCAGGGCAAGGGCAGCCGCTGGACTGAGAAGAGCCATGCCAAGAACCCCTTGCAGCCCTTGCATGGTGGCGCCTGCCCCCTCCTCCCTGCCATCGCCCAGCCTCGGCCTTCCCAGGCTGCTGCTCTTGGGGGGGGGCTCTCCCCAGAAGGCCAGCTCTCCTCTGCCTGTCCTCCCACCCTCTCCGCTTCTGCCCATCTGACTGGCCGGGGGAGGCACGGGCCGGCCTCTTCCTGATCCGGCTCCCTCCGGCCAGCCCGGCTTCCAAACCATGTGAGGAAAGTTTGTTGGGTCAGGATCAGTGGTGAGGGGCAAGAAGGGGCAAGAAGGGGCGGCCCCGCTGGGCTTCCCTTCAGGGGCCGCCTGAAGAAGACCGGTCTGAAATCCCGCCATCAGGCCGGAGTCCCCGTTCCCCCCCCCCGCAGCCCCTTGGAAACAAACCACTCTGTGGCGTCACCAGCTTTCCTGCCCGTGGTGTTTGTTCAGTTTGTCCGTCCCTCTGCCCGCGGCAGCCCTTTGTTGGTTTTGCTGCAGAAGAATAACATGGCAGCCCCTCTGGAATTTCATGCCATCACTGGAAAGCGGGAGCTCATAAAATTTAATGGCCAGCAAATATTTCCACCCATGTAAAATGATGAGGCGAAGAACTCGGAGAAGAAACGTGGGGCTATTTCGCAGGGAACCTGCCCCAAGGAGGGCCTCCCTCTCCTGCCCTGGGCCCACCAGGGGCGGATCTCTCTCCTGGGACTCGAGGAAGCGGGACTGGGAGGGCGGGTGGTGGGTGGGAAGAGGTAGAGGCAAGGAGGGGGCTGAGCCACCGCCATTTCCTCCCTCTGCCCGCCACTCAGGCCTCAGTGGGTCCTGCCGCCTTTGCCAGTCATGCCGGATGTTGGGGCTGTTGCTATGGCGATGGTACAATAGCATCCTCGCCAACTCTCTCCCAGAGAAGAGAGGCAGGGGTCTGCGTGTGCGGAATGAGCCGGGGCTGGTGCGACGCCTGCCATTCCTACGCACATTCTTCCTTCCTTCCTTCCTTCCAAGTGGAGCAGGTCTCCCCCCTTCTGGGTTTTGGGGCTCCCTTGCCTGAACCTCAGAAGAACAAATCGGGAGCCACTTCCTGCGCGTGCTGAGATTCTGCCACATGAAAGGAATCCAGAGGCGCCGTGAGGCGTCAATCATGATGTGCAAAGGAGGGGGTTTCGTAAAGTTAATGGCAAAAGCACGGCCCACGCACCATGTTGGAATCGGCATTCCGTTCTCAAACACCCTCGTAGGCTTTAAATGGCATTGAAGTGGAGTGACAGTTGCGCGTTGTGAGGGGTGGAAATGCCTCGATGGAAGCACAGGGCCCCTGCCTTCTGCCCCATGTGGGGCAGCCCCCCCCCAGTGCCAGGGATCAGCAGGGTGGGCTGCTCCAGGGTGGCGCAAGGGTCACCCGGGTCAGCCAGAGGTGTGCCTCCCCTTTCTGGGAGTCCCCAGGGTGGGAGGGGGCAGGGCTGGGGCTCTGGGGGCCTCTTTCTCCCTCCCTTGACTGTCCCCATCCTTTCCCCATCCCACCCCCCCACCCCCCAGCACGCACAGGGGTGCAGCTGTGGGCCATTGACCGGCAGGCCTACCGCACCATCGTCACGGAGAGCGCCAAGAGGCGGCGTGCCCAGGTCCTGGCGGGCCTGCGAGGGTGAGTGCGGTGTGGGGGACAGCGGGAAGAGCGAGGGAGGGAGCCCAAGGAGGGGGGGCTTTTGGGGAGAGGAAGCCATGGGGAAGCCCACGGTCCTGCCTTGCAGCCAGTCGGAGAGGCCTGTGGTCGAGGACGTGCGAGGGGGGGCCCAGGAGGGAAACTGTTTGGCTAGGAGGGGAAGACGTACAGGCATTCGGAGGAGGGGGTGGGAGACAAAAAGGGAGCAGAGAGGAGCCCCATCCCCTTCAGTGTCTGAGATCATCAGGGAACTGAAGAGAAGAAAGTCTCTTGAGCATGTGAGAAGTGAGTTTTCTCTTCATGGCTGTGTTACCCTCTCTAGAAAGGGGAGGGAGGGAGGGAAGACAGGGCTTCTGTTCCAGCTGATGGGGTGTGGTGGGTAGGCCAACTTGTGCCCGGGGGGGGGGTATTTGGATGCTCCTGCCCTCCTTATCCCTCTGCTTTGCCCCCCCTCACCAGGGTGAAGCCCCTGCAAGGTCTGTCAGATGCAGCCCTGTCACAGCTCCTGGACTCTGCTGAGGAGGTAAGCTGACAGGGGCCACTTGGGAGGTGGGTAGGAAGCCCACCGGGGGGTGGGGGGTGGGAAATGCTGCCCTGCCCAGCTACTTGCTCCATTGGTCTGTCTGTCCCTTCCTGCAGCGCACCTTTGCCCCGAACGAGCTCATCATCCAGGAGGGGGACGAGGGGAGAACCTTCTTCTTCGTCCTCAGCGGCCAGGTGAGTCTCCACTCGCTTGTGCTCTCAGCACCACTGCTTGGTCTCAGAAATGTGGGAGATGCAAATGCAGGAGCTCTGGGGCATGTGCAGAGTGCCTTGCCCTTGCTGAGCGCTCTCAGCCAGGCAGAGGCTTTGGCTGCCGCAGCGCTTTGACCTTCAGCCACAGAAAGTGTCCTCTGGGCAAACACAAGGCAGCACCTGGGAGGCTCCTGAGTGGGAAGATGGCCCCAGAGTCCCCTACTGTCCCTGTGGGTGGTGGGCGATGGGTGATGATGGCATCCCTCAAAGCAACCTTTCCGAGCTGTCTGGCTGCCACCAAACAGGTCCTGTGGGGGCACCGGGGGGGAGGGGTTTGCCTCGCCCTGAAACCTCAGGCGCTGTTTCCCTGGGAGGTGGAAACGGCAGCCGACGGGAGGGGTGGGGTCGGAGGGAAGGCCAGGGCTGAGCCTCTGCTTTCCTGCCCAGTCATTGCTGCAGCCATTGGCCGTCATGGAGCGGTCTGCCCACCTCCCTTGCCAGCTGCCCACCTCCCCATTCTAGGCCACGGGTGGGGCCGGCACGTGCCTTACGCCTCCCGCCTTCCTTCCGGCCACAGGTGGAGGTGACCAGGAACGTGGACGGCCAGGAGGAGTTCATCCGGGTGCTCAAGGGAGGCGACCACTTCGGGGAGCTCGCCCTCATCCGGTACATGGGTGGTGAGGGTGGGGGAGTGCCGGCCACGGTCCAAGGCCACGGTCCACGAAAGGGAGGAGAGGTCTCTCCTTCTCTCTCTCCCACCTCAAGAGAGTAAACAACCTGGAACAGCTCCTCTGGGGGAGGGGAGGCAAGAAGTGCCTGCCCCCCCAAAAGGGGGAGAGTAGGTGTGTCACTTGCAGAAATACACACACACACGCACACACCAGCCCATCCTTCCCACACACACACACGCACGCACGCACACACCAGCCCATCCTTCTTCCTGCTGCTCCTGGAGAGGCCCGTGGGATGGCCAGCAAACCCCCTTGGAAAGGAAAAGACGGAAGGGAGGCAGGCGGGGCTTGGCTTGTGGAGAGTCCTTGGCAGCACTTGCTCTCCGATTCCTCCAGCCACGAAGCCTTGGGCCCACCCAGGGGCTACTTTCCGTTCCCTAACCTTGGTCTGCAGCCGACCTTTCCCCAGGCCTCTGGACAGCAGAAGCCTCCCCCTCCACACACCCCAGCCCCCCCCTCAAGGTGCCAGGCTTGAAGGGTTCCCACATGCCCAGGAGCTTGGTGGCCCTGAGAAGGAGCCGTGGGGCAGGAGTCCCTACTCACTGGCCCTCCTCTCTCCTTCCGTGACCCCTTCTTCCACCCCACCCCCTTGTCTCGCATGCAGCAACATCCGCCGGACGGCCAGCTGCCGGGCCCTGGAGGAGGTTACCTGCATCGCCATAGCCAAGGAGTAAGTAGTGAGGGGGGCCCTTCCTTCCAGAGTGGGTCAGGAGGCTGCCACCATGCCACACACCACGACGGCTTTGTGAGGCAGGCCAAGCCACTGCCCTCGAAGGGCGGCCTCTTCGCTCCTTTGCCCCCTCTGACTCTGACTCTGGCCTGGAGGGAGGTCTGGGGCCCCGGCCTCATTCTCTGCCCGAGGGAGCGTCCAGGTCTCTGAACCCTCTCCCCAGATCACCGGGGAGGGGGAAGGAGGGAGGGGGACAAATGGCCTTCACCTCCTTGGTCCTGAGGTGCAAAGGGACAGGCCGAAGGGTGAAGGGAGTCCCTTGGGTCTCTCTGAAGTCCACCACCAAAACCCTCTCCAGACCAAGGGAAGGCGTTGATTAAAGGGAATGTTCTGAGTGGCACAGAAGGACGGCGGGCGGTGCTTTAAACTAAAACAAGTGAAGCAGATTTGCTGGCCACCCTGATCTCTGGGTGGCAAACTATTTGTAAAGCAGTGGGGCTGCCCGGGGGAGGGGGGGGTCGGCATGCAGAACCCACTTCAGCAGAAGTGACCTGGAGGGCAACGGGAAAAGCTTTCTACACCTTTGAGGTTATGTTTTGCCCTGCCTGGCAGAGGAGGGAGGGGTGGCGCCAGAGGCGGCTGCTCAGCAAGAGGCCATCAACGAGAGGCGTCGTGTGTAGGCGAGAGGACCTTCTGCCCACCTTTAGTTGCTCTAGATACAGGGAGGCCGGCCTGGAGATTGCCCGGAGAGTGCCAGGCGAAGGAGCTAGGAAGTCGGAGTTTGGCTTGCCTGCAGCTGGCATACCCATTGCAGCAAAAATCTCTCGCTTTGTGGATCTGGAAGCCCCCTCAAAGCTGTGGGAAACCCACTTGGGTCAGGGAAGCCACCGATGCCACCTCGTCACAGGTGAAGCTTTCCAAAGCAGTCGCAGGGCTGATGTTGGGCCAAGAGCGAAGGGGGCCCAGGGGGGAGCCAGGCGGTGGGGTTGCTCTCACTCCTGACCAAACCGCCCCAAGGCAACAGGGAATGGCCTGAAGAAGCCTTCCTGGGCTCTCGGACGTGGTGGTGGGTAGGGCTTTAAAACCGCTGAGCCCACACCCAGGGGCTCGCATTATCTTCCTCAGCTCCCTCCCTCTGAAGGGTGCTTCCTGAATCAGAGGCTGGGGAAGGGCTTCCCAGAAAGATTGCTGGTTTCTTGGGCAGGTGAGAACCACCTCCTGTCTTGGAAGTGTGGCTGCAGAGGAGGGGGACCCTTGGGTTGGGGTTGGTGCCAGCACAAGGAGGAGCCCTACGGTGGCCGAGAGGTCCCAGGATTCACGGTGGCAGAACCTTCTGCAGAGAAGCAAACAGCAGAGTCTTCTTGGCAGGCCGGTCAGCTGGCCCCACACATGCCAGAGGCCAAGGCTGAGTGAATTGGTGCTGGTGGGCCCAGGACTGGTCATTGCCGCTTCTTCTCTTGCACGGATCTGAGCTTTGCAGATGACCCCTGACAGACCTGCTGTCCGCTTGGCCTTTGATAGCCTTTTCATCCCACCGCCCGCTCTTCCCCACCTTGCAGAGATGAAGGCCATCTGAGGATAGGGCTTCAAGCGTCTGATGAAGTTGACTTTAATCCGTACCAGCTTCTGTCACAGCAAAGCTGAAAAACCTTTAAGGTTATGTGAGAGATTCTCCCGTTTTAGAAGCTCTGCAGTACCAAGGGTTGGGATCCATCAAAGTCAACCCATAGGGCTGCGGGAATCAGGGAGGAGAGCGAGGTGCCGCAAAGATGTGTTCCCACAGGTTTCTGTTGCCCACATGCTCCCTTGTGGTCCGACAGGTCAGGCAGGGATTCAAAACGATTCCCTTCCCCCCCCCCCCCGCAC